AATTTCTTTCTATTTTTAGTAGAGACGGGGTCTCGCTCTTGCTGAGGCTGGTCTGGAACTCCTGAGCTCAAACAATCCACCCGCCTCGGCCTCCCAGGGAGCTAGGATTACAGGCGTGAGCCACCGCGCCCGGCCCACACTGTGCTTTTCTGAGCATGGTTTCCGTGCAGTCTTATCTGGGCAAAGTAAATCTCATTGGGTCTTACGGGTGAGGAGACCGAGGCTCAGAAAGAAGTGACCTGCCAAGGTCGCACAGCCAGTAAGGCAGGGACTGGAATTAGGGCATAGGTCTGACTGATTCCAAAGCCTGGCTCATTCCTCACATTCTGGGCAATTTACTCAACTTCTTGATATCCCAGTTTTCTCATTTGTGAAACTGTAACAATTCCCACCACAGAAGTGTTTCTCTGAGGATCAAATGAGACACTCTTGTAAAGACCAAAGCACCACCCTTGGGACACAGAAGCACCCAATAAGCGCTGGCTGCTGCTACTGCTGTTTCCCCCAACCCCCACTGGGAGAAGGCAGTGAAGGCTTCCCAAGGAGCAGGAGTGGATCTGTCCTCAAACTTTCCCTAAGGCTGCTCTTTGCCAGACCCTGGGCCAGCTCCCTGCCTCTGCCCTACACCCAAGGAACTCTGGGAACAGACAGGCAAGAAAGTGACAATTAGAATCAAGTGTCATGGTACTGGAAGCCTATATTAGCCCAGTTAGGGATGGGCCATCTAACTCAGATTGATGTGTTTTGGTGGAGTAGTCAAGGAAGGCTTCCTAGAGGAGGTGATATCTAAGGTGAGTCTTTCAGGAACTGGCCAAGTGAAAAATTCAAAGGAATCCTTCATCCCCACACTTTAAACCACTGGCTCCTCAAAGATCCCAAGACCAGCAGTTTCCTCCAGATCAGAAGCCTGCCTCCCTAAGACAGGGACCCAGGCAGCCTGGGTCACCCAGTCCCCACCCTGGGTAATCAGCCACTGCTGCTCTGGCTCTTTCCCTCCCCTCGAGTGCTCCAGTGACAGACTGCCAGCAGCCCAGTGCTTCACCCTGTCCTCACAGTAGAACCGTTTTAATTAATTAAACACCAACCCTGCTGGGCACAGTGGCTCATGCCTGTAATCCCTGCACTTTGGGAGGCTGAGGCAGGAGGACCAATTAAGGCCAGGAGTTCAAGACCAGCCTGGGCAACACAGTGAGACCCCATCTCTAAAAAAAAAAAAAAAAATAGAAAAATTAGCTAGGCACAGTGGCGGGCGCCTGTAGTCCCAGCTCCTTGAAGCTGAGGTAAGAGAATCGCTTGATCCCAAGAGTTTGAGGGTGCAGCGACCTATGATTGTGCCACTGCATGCCAGCTTGGCCCACAAAACGAGACCTTGTCTCTTAAAAATAAAAACAGAAAAAATAAACAAAAACACCAGCCAACCAAAAAATGCCCAGGCCCCACCCAAACTGATTCAATCAGAATCTCTGTGTATCGTAGTACGGAGTGCGAGAAATGACCACTTAAAGACCAAATTGAGCCAAATTTTGAGTCTTTATTAGCTGGCCAGCGACCACCCCTGCCCTGTCAGAGCACAGGTACAAAGAATGGCCCCTAGCCGAAAAAGCAAGGGGGTTTTATACTATTCTAAGATGTGCTACATGACATAAGGCATGGGAAGTGGAACGACATTACATCATACATTCCATAACCGTGGGGTCCGGGGCCTGCCTCGGACCACCTACTCCGGTTACGAGTGACTGATTATAATCTTTAAGCAAGCAGGTTTACAGAAGCAGACAGCATCAGTTAGGTTAAGGAACATTCTTTCCCAAGTTAAGCAAGCACAGTTAAACTTTAACCGTAGGCAAGGCAGCTGGAAAGTTTAAACCATCAATTACAAGAAACAATCAGTTTCGACTTGATTACTTTGGCTTTCATCTTTACAGAGCATATTTCATTGCGGACCCAGGTCAATCACACATAGGTCACCTTGCGAACTAGCATGGGTTTAGGTGGTCTTTTACACGGTGCTCTTGCTATTTTTTAAAGGCATTTGTCAAAAGACATCGAAGTGTATGTACATTTAAGATCTGCGCATCTTTATGTAAATTATATCTCAAAAAACTAAGTTCCTCAGGGGATTCTACTGCACGGACACTGTGGAGAACCATGGGTCTAGACGGAGGGCCCCGACGTCCAAGAAGACACCATGCGCCTACCGAGCTCTCAAGACTTCCCTCAGAGCTGGAGCGTCCACGGTTCAAAGGGCAATGAGGCTACATCTGAGTATCTGTTCTCCTCCTAGCAACCAGCTCTCCTAAGCTTCTGATTGGCTGGAAGAAGCGGGACTATTCGCTTCCGTTTTCTAGTTGTAGCTTCTTATTGGTTAAGAAGAGGGTCAGTCTCCTAGGCTCCTACCCCTGTGAGAGGTTGGTCGGTCTTGAAACTCGGCGGCGACTGGCCCAGCAGAGATAGAGGGGGGGCTAAGGATCATACTAGTTCTCCATTGGTCGTCTCCCCTCGGTGGGAGCCAAGATTCCGTCCCTTTCTCCAAATTCCGTAAGCTCGCGGTCTCGCTCCTCTCCCAGAATCTCACCCTCATTGGCCGAGGGGCAAGGCCGTCACCCCGCCCCCTGACCCTTCCGGCGCGCCGATTGGCGGCTGCGGGAGACGTGCCCGGGCGAGCTCGCCGTGCCCGCGGAAGGAGCGCGGCGCGGGCGGCGAGGGTGGGCGGCCGGCCGGCTGCATGGCGCGCTGCGAGCGGCTTCGCGGCGCGGCCCTGCGCGACGTGTTGGGCCGGGCACAGGGCGTCTTGTTCGACTGCGACGGGGTGCTGTGGAACGGCGAGCGCGCAGTGCCTGGCGCCCCGGAGGTGCTGGAGCGGCTGGCGCGGGCCGGCAAGGCGGCGCTGTTCGTGAGCAACAACAGCCGGCGCGCGCGGCCCGAACTGGCCCTCCGCTTCGCGCGCCTGGGCTTCGGGGGACTGCGCGCCGAGCAGCTGTTCAGCTCCGCGCTGTGCGCCGCGCGCTTGCTGCGCCAGCGCCTGCCCGGGCCGCCGGACGCGCCGGGCGCTGTGTTCGTGCTGGGCGGCGAGGGGCTGCGCGCCGAGCTGCGAGCCGCAGGGCTGCGCCTGGCGGGGGACCCCGGCGACGACCCGGACGCGGGGAACGGCGCGCCCCCGCGCGTGCGCGCTGTGCTCGTGGGCTACGACGAACACTTCTCCTTCGCCAAGCTGAGCGAGGCGTGCGCGCACCTGCGCGACCCCGACTGCCTGCTCGTGGCCACCGACCGCGACCCATGGCACCCGCTCAGCGACGGCAGCCGGACTCCAGGTGAGCGCGGAGCTAGAGAGGAAACTGAGGTCGGGGGCGGCCTGCGCGTTCGCTTCCACGCCCAGGGCTGAGGAGAGAGGAAGGGGCGTCTCCGGGTGGCAGGTGGGGAACCCGAGAGATGCGAGGGAGGCCCGGGGTGCTTTCATGTGTACGTCTGGTAATTCCTACAGCCACCACCCTGCGAGGGACAGCGGTGGTGTCCCCGTTTGACAGATGAGGCAACAGGCCCATTTTGGCTCAGGGGGTTGCTGGCGGAATTTTGCCCCACCCACCATCAGGGTGGTGTTGGAGGATTGGAAAGGAAGCCTGGAAGGGTTGTCCCCCTGTGGAAGGGTTGGGACTACATTCCTAGGGACAGGATGCAGGCAGGTGTATGGAGAGCACAGGAAGTGGAGTTCTACCTGAGTTCCAGTTTCAGCTCCACGCAGTTACGTAACCTCCGAGCATCTCTGCCAGGGTGTAGAATGGGAATGCTCACCATGTCAGTTTCATCCAAGGGGACCATGATCAGGGTGAGTGCCTGGCACATAGTAGGTGCTCACATGATGTAAGTTGTAGCCAGAGTACCCCCATGTTACAGAGAGCTCTAGGAAGCACCTTGGTGTCTGTTCTTATTTGTTTGCAAATGACTCCAGAGATGAGAGTTAATGTTCCATTTCTCAATTAAAGAAACTGAGGCAGCTGGGCGTGGTGGCTGGCACCTGTAGTCCCAGCTACTTGGGAGGCTAAGCAGGGAGGATCGCTTGAGATGAGGAGTTTAAGGCTGCATTGTGCTATGATAATTGCACCTGTGAATAGTCACTGCACTCCAGCCTGGGCAGCATAGTGAGACTTCCTCTCTTAAAAAAAAAAAAAGAAGAAGAAGAAGAAACCGGCTAAGAGAGGGGAAGTGCGCTGCCCAAGAGCGTATAGTGAGTCAGTGATAGAGCACAGAACCCGAACATGGTTCCTGTGACACCCACCCCTGATCCAAGGCACCCTTTGCTGCCATCTTCTGCACGTTCAGCCCTGCAGAAGAGGCAGGAGCAGGCAGGGCCCTACATTGTGGGGGGCTGGAGTTAGACAAGAGCAGGTGGCAGCGGAGGCAGACGGGCAGTGATGAGTGTATGTGGTTAGGTTAATACCCTGGTCCATAGGCTTGGGGCCTGGACAGATCTCTGTCACTCTCTCTCTGCCAGCCACTGACCCAGTCACTGATACCAAAATCCTAGGGGGGCAGGGCAGTTTTGAGTGAGGTGAAGCAGACACAGGGTTGTGATGGGGTGGAGAGGAGGCCTAGTGCTGAGGGGATCTGGGGAAGCTTCCCTGAGGAGACACGTTGCAGAGCACCGTGATAAAGTGCCAGGAGACATAGACACGGTGTTATGATGGGATGGCAGGGAGGGATTCTATAGTTCTAGACTTGTCCTGGCTCTGCCACAGACCTACTGGCTACATGATCACCTCAGCTTCAGTTTCCCCGTAAATCTGAGCTGAGGGCTCGGTCAGTGCTCTCAGCTGCAGCAGCTCCGTCCTGCCTGCCCTAGGCCATGCTGTGAGAAGTGAGATTTTCCCTGGAGACCTCAAAGCTCAGGTTAGGCTGTGGGCTGAAAGGTTCCCAAGGGCTCAGGAAGGAAGGCTGGTGTCAAGGAGATGGGAAGAGACCAGGCCTTGCCCACGCCTGCCTCCCTGTTCTCTGCGTGAACCCAGACCCCTGTGGTCTCCCTGCCCACGTGGCTGTGCCCACCTGTCCTGCTGTCACTCCCACAGCCTAGAGGGGGAGGCAGAGGCTTAACAAGTACAGTGCTGTAAGTCATGTTTGTGCACAACTGAATGATGCAGCTTTGAAATAGTGTGTTATAAAAATATTAATAAAGACCCCCGTTGTGCATAAAAATCTGAAATAATGCAACTCTCCCACCCCCAGTTCCTCCTCTCCTTCCCCATGGGCCTCCTAAATTGTGTGTTTACCTTGTTGCCACATGGCAGCCATTTGAGCCAGCAAATAGAAATGCCTGCTGTCTTAGGAAGACGTCATCGGCATAACATGGCAATATCCCTGGATTGCAGAATGCCAGGTTAGGAGGAATGATGGGGGCTGAGAGACAGTTATACCCTCCCCGGCTAGGATGCTTGCTCCCCCAGGGTAACGATGTCTGTTGCATTGACTGCCCTATCCCCAGTGTCTGGCATATAGTTGGACCTCAGTAAATATTAGCTGAATGAATGAAATGGGACATAGGGGTCCCAGAGGTGACCAATCTCCATCCTGGTGGGAAAGGACAGAGCTGGGGCCATTCTTGAGCTGAGAAAAACACCTTGGGGTGACTTAGTGGAGCCCTTCGCATCCTGGGAGGAATTACTAACCGAGGGGGCAAATGGCTTTTATTCCCTACTGAGTTCTTAAGAAAACAAGCTGGCAAGTTCTAGGTCACATGTCAGGGAGAACCTCCCAATGGTGTTGCCCTGAGCCAGCCTGTAAGCCCAAGTTCTGACCCACCTCTGCCTTGATTCTGTGACTCTGGGCGGTTCCTCCTCCTCATCTGAAGGCCAAGGGACTAAGGACACTTGCTGTCCCCACCCATTTTCCCCTTCTGTGTCTTTGGCTTAACTAAGCCAACTGTTGTTGGCTGTGAGAAGAGAGACGGAGCCCAGAGCATTTGGGGTCAGACCAGCGGAGCACTGATAAATGTTTAGCAGTCGGAGGAGCCTTCTGTGGTGCAAATATTCCTGCCATGGCCGATTTCGAGCTACCACCATGAAGTCCCCGCATGGGGTGTTGGGAAGAGGCGTGCCGTAGCACACCATTATGTGGCATTTCCACCGTACCGATGGAAACTGTATCCAGAGCGTAGGTAATAGTAAAATATGGTAAAAGAATTAGGAAGTGATGAGCTTTGAGAACTTATTAAAGCAAAACTCATTTATTTGAGAGTTTATAAAGTTAACTTTTAATAGTAGCTTCCTTTAACAACCAGCCCACAAAATTCCTGAAAAGGAAACAGTCTGCACTCCCAAATCAGTACAAGCCGGCCCAGCACATGACTGGGTCACACCTACCTGAATGCAAATCCTTTTGCTGCCACTTATGAAGCTGTGCAACCCTGGGCAAGTGACTCAGCATCACTGAGCCCCAGCTTTTTCATCTGTACAATGGCCTTCCATGAGCCCCCCACAGCCCTGGCAGTTTAGAATGTGCTTGGTAAATGGTGATTATCATCATCATCTTTTATTCAGGCACATTAGTATGAAGGCAGAATGTTCTGGCACAGAGACATGCCTGTGAGACAGGCACAGTGGACTCATTGTGTGGAGCAGGATGGTACCGGGTTGGGAGACAGGATCGTCCTTTTCTAAACAGCCCTTCTATTGTTAGACACTTGGGCGAGTTCCACGCTTTGGTTTATAGTTACTGTAGCCACAGACATCTTCAAGCATGTAGCTTTTTGTCTCCAGTTGGAATTCTCTTCTTGCTATCACTTTCCGGGGGAGGCTGACTGGGTCAGAGGTGCAAACATTTCTGTGCTCTGCAATGTTCCAAAAGGGTTGTGCCAGATGCACGAATTCTTGTAGCAGTAACCACAACTGTAGTTAAGTGCTTTTCCATTTACAAAGCGATTGCCCTTGTGGTGCTCCCAGCACCCCTTTGGAGGTGGGTGTTACTTGGCTCCCTCTTTTGTAGGGAGTCCAGAGAAACTCAGAGAGGTTGGATAGTTGAGGTTGAGAGGTTGCCAGAAGGCACACAGCTGCCAGGGTAAAATATTGAACCTCAGGCAGGACTGACTGAGCCAGGAGTTTACATGGAGTAGCTCATCCGGTCCTTATGACATCCACATGAGATAAGTGCCACTGATAGCTCTGTATTAGAGGTGGGGAAACTGAGGCACAGAGACATTATCTAGTCTGCCCAAAGATAGTGGAGATGGAGTCTGGATGCAGGCATCTGGTTGCAGTCTGTGCTCTTAACCACCACACTAAGACTTGGAAGCAGGCCTTCTGACTCATTTTACTGACTAATTTTTACGCTGTGCCAGGCTCCCTGGAATCCCAGCTTCAGGCCTTAAGCTGACCCTGCCGCCCTCCTGCTGACAGTCTCCCCTCTCCCTGCAGGCGCTGGGAGCCTGGCTGCGGCGGTGGAGACAGCCTCGGGACGCCAGGCCCTGGTGGTGGGCAAGCCCAGCCCCTATATGTTCGAGTGCATCACAGAGCACTTCAGCGTGGACCCCGCCCGCACGCTCATGGTGGGTGACCGCCTCGAGACCGACATCCTCTTTGGCCACCGCTGCGGCATGACCACTGTGCTCACGCTCACAGGTGTCTCCTGCCTAGAAGAGGCGCAGGCCTACCTGGCAGCCGGCCAGCATGACCTCGTGCCCCATTACTACGTGGAGAGCATCGCGGACTTGATGGAGGGGTTGGAGGACTGAGCCCACCTGACCTGCAGCCGCAGGCCCACCCCTTCCCCACTTGCTGATATTGTAGATGGAGCCGATAGGTCATGAGCCGCGTTAAGTGCCACCGACTCCCTGGCCCCAGTTTATGCACCCTGGTGGGGCTGGGACCCAGGGAAGGTTTGAGGCCCTTGCACCCTCTCCCAGCAGTGGCTAGACACTCTTTGCTGTTGCAGGAGCTGGTCCACCATGGGTTCATCTTGGCCTAACCCAGCCAGGTGGCCTTATTTCCTGTCATCTTTCCTCCTTAAAACCTGGGCCCTGATGCCAACTGAAAATTTTCTCCAAACCTGAGCACTTAATCCTCTCCCCTCTCCCTGGGCCTTGTAGAACTCTACCTGTCCCTCGTGGCCTGGCCCTTGGGTTCCAGTTGACCAAACAGCAGGTCTAGGTAACCATGACCCATTGTTGTCCTAAGTGGACCAATCCACTTAGGATTGTGATAGTGACTCATTGATGCTGGGTTTTGAGGGGACCAATCAGAAGGCTGTGACAAGGATCCTTGCATGTCCTAGGTCTTGGGTGGACCCATCAGAATACCAAGTAATAATGACCCATTGGTGTCTTAGATCCTGAATAGAACAATCCAGAAGTTTAAGATAAAATGGCCTCATGATAATATTGGTCTGACTTGACCAGCCAGGGATCCAGATTCAGTCGATAAATAAGGGTCCAAGTTCTGAAGACGCCTTGCTTCTACAAAGATTGTGGTGCAGTGGGTGGCTCTGGGGCTCTGGGGCTTCTGTGGCCAACACCCCCACCCTTTCCTGGTCATGGTACCTGTACAGTGTTGACGGTGGCCACAGCTTGGAAGGTGGGCTTTTGTGTCCCCTGTGTGGTCAGTGTTTGCTGTGCCACCTCTCTCCCATGCCCACTCCCAGCTATTTATTTATTTATTTATTGTGTGCCAGTGGAGGTGGGGGCTGGGCCTTCCCCACCACCTCCACCCCTGTTGTAACCAGTCCTTCCGTACTTAATAAAGTGCGAGTGGGAGTGTTTATTTGTGTTTGAGTCTGTGGCTGGGGAGAGATGAGGAGCCGCTGCCTGAGCCTGCTCTCCCTAGAACTGGCCCGCCACATTCTTCCCTGTGGGAAATGACCCATCCCAGTTCCAGAGTGTTCTCTGTGTGCGGTAATACCTTGACTCAAAAACACTTTATGCATCACTGATCTGTTTCAGTCCTTTGGAAAACCCAGCAAGTTTGTATTACCACTCCATTTTACAACTTGGGAAAATGAGAGCAGAAATGTGATGTTAACTTACCCAAAAGCACACAGCTGGAAGGTGTGGTCACCTTACACAGGATTTGAACTTGTGTTGGCTAATTCCAGAAGGCTATAGCCCCTTCTCTGGAGACACTAAGAGGGAGACAGGAAGGTGGAAGATGAGGTCCCCCCACCTCCTGCCCTCAGGGAGCTCAGGCGAGATGTGCTTTAAGGCATCCATCATCACAACTGGGATGCTGCTAGTGAAGGTCTGTCCTGCTGGCCCCAAGCTCCTCCAGGCCGTGGCAATGTGTTTCTCTCATTGCTGCATCGCCAGCGCCTCCTGTAGAGTGTGTGCTCAGCTATGGGCTGGGTGAGGGGCAGCCCAGAAAGGCCTAGTAAAGCTGAGTGGGGAGATGCAGTGAGTGCTCCAAGCCTGTCCGTGACTTCCTTGTCACTTGAGCACAAGCTCTTTGAGCTGCTCAGCTTCCTCATTGTAAAGTGAGGAGTGGGACATCAAGGCCTGGGAAATCCTCTGCAGTGTAAGTCGTCTTGGCAAGAGAGTGCTTTACAGAGCCTGGCTGCATCTTGAGGTCGGAGCAAATGTAGCGTGTTCATGGAGACTTAATGTTGTGACAGAAACTCGGCCCAACCTGGGTAAGGGATAAGGGGGTTGACTGGCTGCCCCATGAGGTGGTCCAACAGCTTCCAGGTGTTTCCCTCTCAGTTCTGCTGCCTCCCAGACAATGAGTACCTCTCACCCAACCAACATCCCAGGACAGATTCTCATTGGTCTGGCTTGGGTCACATGTCCATCTGGACACCTGTACCCAAAGGGATGGGACATAGCTATTGGCCAACGTGGGTCACGTGACCCTCTCCTCCTTCCCCTTCACCAACAGGAAAGTGCTTGCTTCTCTGGACCTAACAGCCATTCCCTGCCTTCTTTCTTGCCAACATTGCTCATTTCCTTCAGGGTAACAGCTGGAGGCATCCTAATCCCAAATAGTAAATCTTGATTTGTTTAAAGTTTGAGTAAACCAATCATGGTTGAGCCCTCCCGGTCAGGGATTGGTTTAGGTGTGGACATGTGACACACTTCTGACCAATGAGACACGAAGGGAGGTCTGCTGGGAGTTTCTGGAAATGTTTACCTTACTTTGAAAGGACATGGGGGCAGAATGGTCTGAGTGCAGTGGTGTTTACAACTAAGTGATCACAACC